TACACGCATGCAAACAGGCAACGGGTGCGCATACGTGTGAAAATGACGATTTCGCCCATTACGCCGCACATGTTACATATCGCCGCGAACGTCGGAATAAGAGAAATAATTGTAGGGCTATCAATCACTGATAACACTAAACTGATGAGCGGTAAAAGCTTTTAAAGCGTCACCTATGGTCAATTTTGGGCATGGTCATTTTTTGCAATTTTGCGGGTGCTCGCAATTTTAAAGCATGACATGTTTGGTGTCTATTTACCCGACGTGACCCCGTCTTTTTATATTTTACAAAAAATATGGGTGATAAATGGGTGTGGTTACTGGGGGTGTGGCCACTAAAGGGTGTGGCCACTGAGGGGTGTGGTCACTGAGGGGCGCTGTAAAGCTTTCTCGCGCAGGGCGCCTAAAGGCCTAAGGCCGGCCCTGTTCGTCACTCCAGAGAACATGCCTCCACTTCTCTAGAGTCCAGTGGCGGCATGCTTTACACCACTGCATCCGATGCTTTGCATTGCACTTGGTGATGTAAGGCTTGGATGCAGCTGCTCGGCCATGCAAACCTATTCCATGAAGCCCTCTACGCACTGTTGTTCTGCCAATCTGAAGACCACATTAAGTTTGGAGGTCTGTAGCTATTGACTCTGCAGACAGTTGGTGACTTCTGCGCACTGTGCGCTTCAGCATGCGCATACCCCGCTCTGTCATTTTACGTGGCCTACCATTTCGTGGCTGAGTTGCTGTTTTTCCCAGTTGCTTCCACTTTGTTATAATACCACTAACAGGTGACCGTGGAATATTTAGTAGCAAGGAAATTTCATGGAACACCTAAATCAAATGATTTGGAGGGTTGTCCCAATACTTTTGGCAATATGTTCTACTTTAGGAGGTCAAAATAAGTTTAGAAATGTTTCATCAGAGCAACAGGAATTGTGTTAAAACTTACACTTCTCAAGCAATCTTATGTTTAGCTGCCTTTTTTTTTAGTATGGGTTCTTTTTTATTTCAATCTGCTGTGCAGCAATATATTTTGATCAATACAGAGAACATAGAAGCGGATTTCAGCCGATTAATTTATTTCCAGAGCTAAAATTTAATAAAATATTTAATGCCTGTGTAATGTTGCTAAATATTATAGCTTCAACTCTTCTGATGTAAGTATATTATATTCTGCACCACGCTCACCTGCTTAAATGAATTACTGACACGGCAATTCATGCAAACCTCATTTAAAACATCATCAATAATTCACAGTAAGAACATAGGAATAATCTTTTATGTGGGCCTGGAAGGCCGAATGGTGACTCTGCGAAAATAAGTCATGCCATTTTAGCAAATAAGAGCTTTATATAATATAATTACTATGATCCATTTTAATTAATTAACTAGCTGAATATAACTTTTTAGGTTGCAATCTCTCTCTGTTCATGCAAAGTAAAGTAAACGGTTAATCCCAGCAGTTATTATGAATCTCTAGTCCTTGCAAGGCCATAGGAGGAAGTTGGCAAAGAGAAGATAAGGTGGTTCATGTAACGGCCAATTCCATTTCATTTTCCAGAAGAGTTTGCAGCACAACACATCTGATTGTAATCGTGATTAGTCACTCTTGTGTTTCACACACTCTGCCATATCACAAAACCAGGATACTTGTACCACTACTCACTATTCCTGATACTTCTCACCATTAAAGGGGTTCTAAACCCTCCGTTTTTTTTTTCCTATATCTACTGCTAGCAAGCAGTAGATATAGGCAAGAAGTTTAAAAAAAAAACAACGCTTGAACTGGTTTTAAACTTACCTCGTTATCGCTGCTCGATCCCGCGCCGAGAATCAGGAAGTGATCGTAGGCCGCAAAGGATCTTGGGGCGGACGCATGCGCAGTTCCGATTCTCGGCCGGGAGACGAGCAGAGACACAAGGTAAGAAGCAAGCAGTAGATATAGGCAAGAAGTTTAAAAAAAAAACAACGCTTGAACTGGTTTTAAACTTACCTCGTTATCGCTGCTCGATCCCGCGCCGAGAATCAGGAAGTGATCGTAGGCCGCAAAGGATCTTGGGGCGGACGCATGCGCAGT